TGTAAGAGACTGAAATTATTTTGAATGGAGTAATTAATATGCCATAAAATTAACACAATTTTATTTAGATTATCAACAAGAACCTGAAGAAAGTATGCATTTGGTAACTTCTACCCTTTATAAAAACTACGGACATCCCAGGCAACGACGGACAGACCCTTTCCTTCAGAGGTTTACCTAATACACACCTCCTGTCCTTGGTCACTTACCTTCCTGATTCAAATGTGAACCATGTCGAGTCCCGACCATATCTCCGCAGTGAGCTGAGAGGCCACATCACCAGTTTGACCTTGGCATTGTGGATATCCCAGAGATAGATATTCTCGTGAGTAATCTGCATTGTGCATTCACCATAAATATCCAGATTTGGTGTAGGCATAAGATACACATTGAACCGTTCTGCAAAGAAACAAAGAATGGAGAAAATTAAGCAAAAAGAGTATTGTCTATGGCAATACTGTATCAATTTGTATACCTAAAGAATTCAGAAAGCATTATCACGTCGCTTAGTGATACCGGTATCCATTGCAAAACACTACCTGTTTCCATTTTGTGTATGAGAAAAAAAGTTCATTAAAGTATTTTTTTTCTTTTTCTTTTATTTCAGCATATTATGGGGGTACAGATGTTTAGGTTACGTATGTTGCCCTTGGTCATTAAAGTATTTTTAATTATTAGTTCATTGACTCACTGATTCTGTAACTTTTCATTGCATGCATTCTGTATGGTGAGGAATAAGTAGTTAAATTGTACAAGGGAAAAATAAGGGCAAATGCTAAGTGGAGTCTCTGCCCAAACTGTGCTTACCATCTGCCTTTTCACACTGTCTAAGTGGATATCACAGATACAATTCCTGTGAGGGATGTCTTATTTACTCTAAGCGAGACCTTACTCAGTTTTACCTTTGTGACATGATGTATTTAATGTGCACTCAGACTGACTCACTAACTACTTAAGCACTGCAAAGATAATTTAGTTTGTATCTCAAAACAAATTGTAATCATGGTAAGATTCAGCATATGATAATTGCAGGTATTCATTACTGCCTCCTGCAGAACTTAAGACATTAGAAACAAAGTAAAATACATAAACCCTTCTTGTTGTACTTTAGAACTCTCCAATCTTAACTTTTGATGTTATTTCTTGCAACCCTTGAAAGAAATTATCCTAAGAAATATTATTTTCTATTTTCAAATATTCAAGATCCATTCTCCCCTAATGGATTTCAGATTCCATTAAAAAGTGAACTAATTTAATCCAGCAGAAAACTAGGTACGTAGAGACGAGGACAGCACATCAAGTTATCTACCCATACTTCACTGAATCCCATTACAATGAGGAAGGAAACTTTCCACCTTTGCTGTGAATAAATTATTTTATTCCCTCAGTAGCATACAAGATGTTGTTTTACTAAAATTTGTAAGGTTCTTACTAGAAAGACCATTTCAAACTAGAGTGGTTAAAATTGGATCCACTAAATGTTGTTTAAAAATTACCTTCGTCAAACAATTTCATCAGGCAGGCATTTTAAATCACTCTCTAATCATGCTACTTTTAAAATTTAAGAAGCTACGTTTGGTTTTTATTGCCTAGTGTACTGGTTTTCAGATGTTCGTGTGCATCAAAACTCCCTGGATGACTTGTTTAAAAACAGATTGCTGAGCCTCCTCCACCTGTAGGGCTGGGTTGGAACCAGATAATTTACATTTCTACTGACTCCCAGAGGGTGTTGACCCTGCTGCTCTGGGAACCACACTTTGAGAACTGTTGATGTGTGAAATTTTAAAATATTGCCAGGAAAGTAGCAATGTTAGAGAAAGCATGAGGAATGCTTTTGAAAAGTGACGCTATGTTCCAGTAGAACAAACCAGCACATATATTTTTTCAAAAGTATTCTCTAATGTCTGGGGCTGCAGTGCAGTGACAACAAGAAAGTTCCATTTTATACTCTTTGTTTAACAACTGTTACATGTCAATTCGAAACATGAAATTATAGTAAGAATACAAAACTAATAGATGGTCTACTAAATGTTATTTGGGCAAAAGACCAGAGATATTGGTCTAATACTAAGTTTTGCTGAATAAGTCCTCAAGAATCTGGTAGTAGAAAAACTGAACATGTGCGTGGGA